CAGAGACCCTCCTGCCTCTTGGGCCTGGGACCGAACTCACATCGTCAGGCTTGGCGGCAAGTCCTTTACCAATGAGTCACCTCTTCAGCCCTGCTTTTGTTATTTTTAGACAAACAATTTGGGTTTTCTTATAAAACATCCGAAAATAAAAAAAATCCTTTGATTCTATTACACAGATATCACTATTTATAGTCTCCGTTATCCTCGGAAAGTTTGAGAACTTTCCAGATGTGTCTGTGTACTTCCCCCTCGCAGACACGTATACATGTAATTTTTATTTAGGCCACGAAAGGCAAGGCAGGATTGTTCCGCATTCTGTCAGACGCCATGTTTCTTTCCCGACTGCCGCCATTTCTGCAGGCCCAGAGGAGACAGACGTGCCTCTTCCTCAGCCACGTGGATCTTGAGGCTCCGGCACCTGCTGTGTCTTGGCCTCTCCGGCTCTACCATGTGGGATCATGGGCCTGCTCTGTTAAGAGACTGGTCACTTGGCCGGGCAGCAGTGGTGCACGTCTTTAATTCCAGCACTTGGGAGGCAGAGGCAGGTAGATCTCTGTGTTCAAGGCCAGCCTGGTCTACAGAGCAAGTTTCAGGAAATCCAGGGCTACACAGAGAAATCCTGTCTCTCCACAGGCCAGGGCAGAGTTAAGACATGCTCTGTGGCTTCACAGCCCCTAGTTTACGATCCTACCCAGGACCTGGTTTCTCTGTCTTCTTGTCACATGGCCTCTGCTATGTTGAAATAAACCATGTGGTGTGGGACTTCCTACCACCCCCTGAAAAGACGTAAGGGTCAGATGTTTCTTTGGTTTAGGGGATGTCTCAGTCACTGTTCTGTTGCTGTGGAGAGAGACACCATGACCAAGGTAGCTCTTACAGTTCAGAGGTTTACTCCATCGTCGTCACGGCAGGGAGCATGGCAGCATGCGGCAGGCATTGGAGCAGTAGCTGAGAGATTCATCGTGATCCATAGGTAGAGACAGAGACTGGGTCGGCCGTGGACTTTTGAAACTTTAAAGCCCACCCTCAGTGGCACACTTCCGCCAACAAGGCCACACCTCCTAATTCTTTTAATCCTTTCAAATAATGGCACTCCCTGGTGACTAAGCATTCAGATGTATGAGTCTCTGGGGGCCATTCTCAGTGAAACCATGGCAGAGGATTTCTCTCTGAAGGCTCTCCTGTGTCCCCCTACCCTTTTCTCTTCATCCTCTTCATCGACAGCTCCCTATGGCACGCCTTTCCGGGTTCTAAAGAGAAGCCTGTCTTCCTTTTACAGTTGGCGGGCTGTCACTGGTAAGATGTGCTGTACCTTTCCAGTGCTTGTCCACCCACACCAAGGTCTGACACGCTGTCATGACTTCTAGTCCCCGTCTCTTAATAAAACTCACTTCTGAAGGGCGTGGTTTGTGTCTTTCCCACATCAGCCAACTGCTCTGTTCTCTTGTCTAATCCCAGTTGGGGCCTGTCCAGAGCACCTGATTGTGCTTTTGTTTTCTTTTTTGGTTTTTCTCTGTGTAGTTTTGGTGCCTATCCTGGATCTCAATCTGTAGACCAGGCTGGCCTCCAACTCACAGAGATCTGCCTGCCTCTGCCTCCCGAGTGCTGGGATTAAAGGCACTCGCCACCACTGCTTGGCCTCATTGTGTTTTTTAAAGAATTGAGAGGCTGGGGACGTGGCCTAGTGTGTAAAGTGCCTGCTACTCCAGCTTGAGGACCTCTGTTTGGATGCCCAGCCCACATAAAAGCCAAATGCAGGGCTGGGAGAGGCAGAGATAGGTAGGTCCCTGACACTCATGGACCAGCCACCCTGGATGAGTCAGTGAGCTCCTGGTCCAGTGAGAGAGCCTGCTAAAAACATCAGGTGTCTTCCTTGACTGTCCCCCACCTTAAGTCAGCCTCTGGCTTCTACACACACACACACACACACACACACACACACACACACACACACACGCACTTACTTTCATACACAGCCATACAGACAAATAAACACACGTATACACTCCACCAACACACAGTGAGATAAAGCCAGATGTGGTAGCAGATGCTCTGGGCATCTAAGGCAGAGGATTGCTGTGAGGTAGAAGCCAGCCTGGGCTACAAACCAATACCCTGTCTGGAGAAGAGAGGAAAGAAAGAAATAAGGAAGTTATTTCACCTAACATAGAGTTTAACACTTGAACCACTTTTGAACTGTACACCGGTGTCACCTAAAGTATTCAGTACTGTGCGCCCATCACCACTACTTCCAGCACAATTTTATTATCATCCTGTCAGTGGTCTCATCCTCCCCGTCCTGATCTTTCCGGTCTGAGCAGCCACTAATCAGCTTTGTCCACCGATTTACCTGTTCTGGGCATGTTTTATATAATGAGACCATAGGCTAGGTGATGATTTGTGTCTGCCTTCTTTCAGGTTACACAGTGTTTCGAGGTCTCTCTGGCTGTGGTGGGAACCCGTGCTTCATTCCCTTGTGAGGCCTGAGTAGTACTTCCTGGTGTGGCTACGCCACATTTGTTTATCCATTGATCGGTTGGCTGTTTTGGTTTTACCCACTTTGGCTTTGCACAGTGCTGCTCTCAACAATGTACAAGTTGTTTTCGGTTCTGTGTGCTACCTAGAAACAGGGCAGCAGCTGCATCCTCTCACCGTTCTGGACTGGCTGTTCTGGATCTCACTCTGTAGACCAGGCTGGCCTCAAACTCACAGAGATCCGTCTGCTTCTGCCTCCTGAGTGCTGGGATTAAAGGCGTGCGCCACTACTGCCTGACTTCAGCACACATTTATTTATTTACTGTGTGTGAGCACACATATGTACACATGCACAGATGCATGTAGATGCATTGGCCAGGAGCCAGTGTCACATGATTTCCTCAGTTGCCCTCCATCTTATTTTAAGGGAGAGCTTGAATATAGTCTGTATCCTCCCCATTAGCCCCACACCATAAATTAAACAGTTGCGGTCTCCATATTTGGGGAAATCCTATGATCAGCACATGGGGACTACAATGGACGAGCCTCCCCTTGGGAAAGCAGTCACATGACCATGGTATGCTATCTCCCCTGCCAGGAAAGTACACCCTACTTTTTTTTTTTTTTTTGTAGAATGTCTCACTGAACCTGATGCTCTCTAGGTCTGCTAGGCTGGCTGCCAATGAACCCAGGCATCCTCCTGCCTCTGCAGTCCTAGCACTGAGGTTACAGACTCACTCTGCCTCACCCAGTTTTTAAGTGTGCTAAGGACTGAACTCAGGTCCTCATGCTCACACTCCCTGCCCCCCATTTATTTTCTCTTATCAGAACATTCTACAGCTCTCACAGGGTGATGTGGCTTCTCACTGTGGCTTCCATCACATTTCCTGATGACTGAGGAGCCTGTAGGCTTTTGCACACACACCTCGGTTTGCTTGTCTCTAGCTTATGATAAAACACTCTCCAAAATCGACTCGGGAGGAAAGGGTTTGTCTGTTTGTTTTTGTTTTCTGAGACAGGATTTCTCTGTGTAGCTTTGGAGCCTGTTCTGGAACTCACTCTGTAGACTACAACGCTGCCCTCAAACTCACAGAGATCCGCCTGCCCCCGCCTCCCTAGTGCTGGGATTAAAGGTGTGCGCCACCACTGCCTGGTTTAAACTTATTTTTAAATATAATTTAAAATATGTATGTATTTGTGCGTGTGAGTTTGGGCATGTGAGAGTCATGGTGTAGGTGAGTGTCACGGGAAAGGCACATGTGGAGGTCAGGGGACAGCTTTGGGTCCTTTTCTCACTGTCTGCCTTGTTGAGCAGAATCTCTCCTGCCTCTTCTGAGCTGCCTACTGTAAGGGGCGGCCTGAGAGCTCCCTGGCCGGGCTGTTCTGCCTCTCTCCTCTCATAGCATGAGTCCTAGGATACAGATGCATGCCCTGAATCCAGCCTATTTTTAAAAATATGAGTTGTGAGGATCTGAACTTTCACCCACTGAGACATCTCCTTGGTTCTAGGCCCCTACCCCAGCCCCTTTGGTTTCCTGAGATAGGGTCTTACTAGGCAGAACAGGCTGGCCTTGAACTCCAGGGCCCGCCTCATTTTCTCCATTGCTGAGATTACAAATGTCCACCACTACATCAGATCCCACTGCCCATTTTAAAACTGAATTGTCTCTTGGGCTGGGTGGCGGTGGTGCATGCCTTTAAATCCAGCACTCTGGCAGATTCTAACACACACACACACACACACACACACACACACACACACACACACACACACGAATTCGGACATGTATGTTGTAAGAGTAGTTTTCTTTGTGTGTGTGTGTCTCACTGTGTATCCTAGGCTGGCTTCAAACTTCCTGTCTCCCTGCTTAGCCTCAACTTCTGGATAAACTGTTTCTCAGCCTTCCCGAGTGTTGGGGTCACAGTATGTGTCCCGACACTTTATGAGGCACTGGAGACGAACCGAGATTTTCACGCACGACATACCAGGCCCTTAACAGCTGGGCTGCAGCTCTGGCTGGTTTTTGGTGTCTTGAGACACTAAGGAGCCTTAGCTTGCCTGGAACTCACTGTTGTAGATCAGGCTGACCTCAAACATATGCCTCTATCTCCTCTACAGTTCTTTATATAATTTGAATACTAGACCTTCATCAGCTACATGACCTACAAATATTGTCTCCCGTTCTGTAGTTGTCTTTATGCCTTTTTGAGGGCGGATGTGTAGTTGGGGTGTTAGAAACAAAGAGTAACCTCCTCGCTCCGCCCTCTCCCAGGCCTCGGCGGCTCCTCTAGTCCGCCTCGCGCCGGCCCCTCTGGGCCCCGCCTCCCCGCGCCCCGCCTTTTGCGAGCCCCTCTGGTCGCAGTTTCCTTCCCACCCGCCTGCAACCAGGCTGCCGCCCCGCCCCTCCCAGGCCCCGCCCCAGGTGGCCTCCCGCCCCCTCCAAGCCACGCCCCGAAACATCCCCGCCCCGGGCTCGCCCTGCCTCCCTGGATCCCTCCCGGCCCGCGCGCGCGGCTAGTGCAGACCTCCCGGCTCGACAGGCGGCGCGGGCGGCGGTGAGTGTGGCGCCGCTGGGTGCTGCGTGGGGAACGCCGGGCGCGGGGCGCGGGGCGGCTTCGGAGGCGGGGGCCGCGCTCTGGCACCTGCCTAGAGCCCCGGGACACCGCGCTCTCCGCGGGTGGCGGGTGGCGATGTCGCGGGACCCGGGTGGCGCGCTCTGGGAGGGATTCAGGGTTAGGGGTTCCAGCCGTGCTCTGGTAGTCTTTGGTCCGCAGGCCCGGAGTGCTCAGCTCCCATCTGAATCTCTCCGGATGATGCCCCTGGAGGGCTTATAGGAAACGGCGCGGTTTTCTCTAGTAGCCTCTAGACTCTAAGTTGCGATTTGGAGAACGATCGCTTGCGGAGTCTGAAACCAAAAGTGAACAGACAAAAAGTAGGACAACTTTCCAGATGCTCCGTAGCTGCTCCGGGTCCACGCGTCGGCATTTTTGCTCTTATCCCTGTGGGTTTCACGCGGGTTCCCCGCAGGGTGCGGGCGTGCCGGTGCGCAGGGGATCCGGTGTGATCGCGGGGCTCCTAGCCCAACGTCCACCGGTAATGACGGTGGACGTGGCCCTGACTGCCCAGCCGGCCCAGTTCTTGCTTCCCGAGGGGTTTCCAGTCAGCGTGGGTCAGGACGGTGAGCTCAATCGTCATTTGGTGTTGTGCCCATACCTTGCGTTCAAGCTTAAGAGGAAGGGGTTAGAGGGGCATGGGTGTGTTCTAGAAAGGCGGAGCTACAGTCATCAGGCCGCTTGGACCTTCCCTAATATTGTCGGGTTTTGTGCTTCCGGATAGTGGAGCTGATGTCATTCACTGTTGATTGAGCGGTAGTCGTTGGGAAAGAGTTTGTGGGAGTCACAGGCGTTCTGAACTCCCATCAGCTTTTTGTTGTTTTGAGTGAGACAGGGTCTTATGTAGTCCAGGCTGGAATCCCAACTCCATATGTAGCCGAGGTTGGTCTTGAACTCCTGGACTTTCTGCCTTCAGTGTGAGAGTACAGCGTTGTATGATCCTGCCCGGTCCTCCTGCCTTTTCAAAATCTAACCGCCCTCCCCTTGGCATGGTGAGCGGGAGCTGGTTCAGGGACTCCTGGACTCCATATTGGAGTCCTTTGAAGGAAAATGATTTCCACCAGTAGGTGCTGGCCTGCCGTTCTGCTCTCCACTCCAGCCTTCCCAGATTGGCTCTTTAAAAGAACTGATGTAGGTGGCTGTAAAGAAAGGCACTGGGTGGTGTCAGGAGTTCCTCCTGTGTTTGGCCTTGTCAGCCGGATCAGGATCCAGAGGGTGTATCGCTTGCTCTGCCTGGCCTAGAGTGCACCCATACTTCACCTGGCTCTGGTCTCAGCCAGTCCTTGCTTTATAAAAGTGTACAGGCCATCTAAGAAACATTTGCTGTGAGGTCTACTGTGGGAGAGGCCCATTGTTCTCTCTTTCCTGTTGCACTAAAAGCATTAATAATGAATAGTTTTATTCCTGCCTGAAAAAAACCCTGTGTGATGTTTTTCTGGATTAAGTGACCCAGTGATTGCTCTAAAATCTCTCATCAGTTTCTTGAGTCTCTAAAATACTAGATTGAAGTAGCTCTCATGTCTTTGGCACATACGTTCCCTTTGTCCTTCCTTATGGACTGGCCACAGGAGGGTGGAGGACTACACCTTGTCCTGTAAAGGTGCTGAAAAAAATGGCTCCTGGTCCTGAGTGGCTTATGCTATGGGTGGAAATCAGGCATGCTGTTGAAAAGTGCAGAGCTCAGCTCCGAATCCACTAAAGTCGGGAGGCATTCCTAGACAGGGAAGGTTGTATGGAAAAGCTGAGGTCTGAGCACACTGCGCACAAGCAGAATCCCAGCAAAGCTGTGGTAGAGGTGCAGGTAAGCCCAGGGTCAGAGACGGAAGGAGTCGGCAGGCATTCCCAGCCTAAACTGAGAGGATAAGCTGTTCCTGCTTTTCTACCTTAATCTAATCCCGTCGTCCCCGCTGATGGGGCATGGCCCAGTGCCACTGTGAGAATGGGCAGGACCCCTTCCTTCCCCCACCTCTCTTCCGGATTTCCCTGAAGGGAACTGGGAAGAGGAAGCCCTGGAGTGCTGGCACCAGTCTCTCCTGTTCTGTTTGTTTTGGCTTTCTGCTGCCATGAAAATAGCCCGCGGAGCCAGGTGGCCTGTGTCCACAGGTAAACAGACTCTGCTCTCTGCTTCTGTCTTGCAGCCCATTGGCCACCGTGGCTGACTCTGAACATGACTGGTGTTTACTTACCGTGGAATTGGTGTGTGAGGTCAAGTGCTGCTTTCCAGGGGTCCTCATAACTTCATTTTATTGTTGAGCATTCATTGACATTCTGGATAGACACAGTGATGACAACGTTAGACCCACTGAAGTTGTCACTTGGCTACAGGTCTTTGGAGATTTATGTGTCATTTCATTAGGTTTGCAGACACAGGAAGGTATGGCCCCGTCTCAAGAGTCACGTCCAAAATGCCTTCAACCAAAGAGAAATTAACTACAGAAAAGTATAACAAGTCCAAGAGTTTTCATGTATGAAGACCAAAGACCCTGAGGTAGATGTTTATTGCTACAGGGATGGTAGATGATGGGCTGAAGCAAGTCTGCTCAGTCCTTTCCGGTACTCTGTGGATTTCTTTCTCCTGGGGTAGGGTAGGACCTCACGTTTTAACAACTATCATCAGGCAAGAGAGGAGTTTTTTCTTCTTCCTTTTCCTCTTCTCTTTCTTTAAATTCATGTGCATGGGGTCTGGAGCAATAGCTTGCTGCTATTCCAGAAGACCTGAGTTCAGTTTCCACCATCCATGTTAGGAAGGTCACAACTGCCTGAAACTCTAGCTCCAGAGGATCTTGTGCCCTCTTCTGGCCTCTGTGGACACTGCACTCATATACACATACCCACATCTGGACACATAATATATACATAATTGAAAAAAAAAAAAAAACCAAAACCTTAAATACGTTTTTAAGTGCAGGTAGGTTCATGTAATCTGGAATACTGCCTACCTCCTTTGAAACAGGATGTTTCATGGGCCTGGAGCTTACCACGTAGATTAGCTGAACTCACTGCCTGGTTAGTGAGTATCAGAGACTGTGAAGGCGCTCTCCCCAGTGCCTGTTTTTTTTCTGGAGGTCCTGGATATTGAACCACATCCCCAGTCCAGCACAGCAGCACTGTAGCCAGGTGGCTTCTGCAGAGTTAGAGTAATAGCCCCAGGTTCTATGACAGCCTCGAGAGAAACCCTGGTTCCTTGACCTGCCGGTGGGGAGGGAAGGCAGGAAGCACTCAGGGAGGCTGTGCTTCCGAGGCCCAGCCAGTTCCCTTTCTGGTCAATCACCAACATGCTGTGTGTTATTCTTGACAACTTTGTTGTCTGCGCGTTGGCACATAGTGGGAGCCCTACGCCATGTAGAGCGCTAACTCCCCAGGGTCCAAAGCCTAGCAAGCGTGTCTGGCATCATTACAGATACCATCTACAGAGCTCACATGGGAGAACCCTGCAGTCAGGTTACAAAAGAGAATTATGTCAGGTCTTATTCTCCCTGGGGTGCAAATGGCCTACAGGACACAGGTTGGACACACCTGGAAGACTTGAGAAAAATGTAAGCCATTTGACCTATGAAGCCTCTTGAGTGTGTGATCTTGGAGTTTAAGATTTTAGTGTTAGTGGACACGAGGCTACATAGCGCCCATTCCGCCCTCAGGAGGCTGAGGCCAGAGGATTGTTGCATGGCAAGTCTGGACTGCTGCACAGGGAGACCCTGTCTCCGGAAACCAAACTGGCAAAAATAAAAACAAAACCTGAAACGGCAACAGAAACTTATCATCATTGGCCTGCTCATCTCTGATTCCAGTGACATTCCATGGACTGATATTTGAAAAATTTATATTAAGAACCAGCAGTAGCCGGGCGATGGTGGCATACACCTTTAATCCCAGCACTCGGGAGACAGAGCCAGGCGGATCTCTGTGAGTTCGAGGCCAGCCTGGGCTACCAAGTGAGCTCCAGGAAAGGCGCAAAGCTACGCAGAGAAACCCTGTCTTGA